TGATTGGCCGAGCCGGTCTCCCTTCTCCACTTACTCACTCGTCGCTGATTGGTCCACCTGCGTCCGTCAGAGGCAAGCGAGCCGGCAAACCTGCAGGCAGACAGACCGGCCTGACAGTCAAACCGTCTCTAGTCGGCATCAAGACACTCTTGAGGTGGATATGGAAAGAGAGAGAGAAAGAGAGAGAAAGAGAGAGAGAGAGTGAGAGGCTGAGTAGGCAAGAGAGAGCGAGCCAGACCTTGCGAAGAGGCGGATAGGTCTTTTTGTGCGCTCGCGGGCGGCTGATAAGCGCGTGTTTGGACGACGGCGAGACCGCCAGACTCGGCCTCCCGTTATCCTCGTGCCGGTGTGTCACACGCCATTTCACACTGCCCACCCCCTGCCCCACGATCCACTCACACACACGCACACACACAGGCACAGGCAGACAGACACAGGCCGAGAGACCGGCACAAGCTGAGAGGGCACAAATGCACGCGGCGGCAAGCGGAGCGTTCGGTTCGCAGCACTCGCCTCCTCGTCACTCGTCGACACCGCCTTCTCGTGACCCTCTTTCACCACCGGCCCTCGGTCCACTCGCCTCCGCTCCCCTCTCCCCCCCTCGCCTCCGACTCCGGCTTCGGCCCGCTTCTCACCGCCGGCCGACGCCCGCTGCGTCTTGACCCGCCTCGACGCCGACCGACCGCCAATCCGTCGGCTTCACACCTTCCGGTGGACGTAATCAACTGTCTTGTCTTGTCGTGTGTTGTGTTGTATTGTATTGTATTGTGTTTTGTTGTGTTGTGTTGTGTTGTGTTGTGTTGTGGTGCGGCGTTGTGACGTCTGTCGCAGCGCGCCTGCACACATCTCGGCCGGCCGGTTCTCTCCGTCTCTAACAGGCCCGTCTAGACCCTGTCCGGCACACACACACAAACACACACACAAACACAGACACATTGCGCGACGACGCGTGAGCATGCCGAGCACCAGCCTCATGCATCGGCCCACGGCGCAGCCGACCTCCAAGTCGAGCCTGGCCTCGGGCGCGCCCAACTCCACTCTCCTCCTCTTGCCCGACACACACGCACAGCCGACCTCCGTCACCGCCACCGCCCACCCAGCGGCTGGAAGAGGCACCGGCGAAGCAGCCGTTACCGGCTCCGGGCAGGCGCCCAATCGGCGTCGTCATCGTCACCAACATCAACACCCTCATCAGCAACGTGGACATCGTTGTCAGGGCGTGTCGACGAAGAGGGATCGCGTCGTCAAGTCGGCCGAGTTGTGTCTGTCTCCGGTTGACGACGAGGCGCGACTGGCGCCGGTTGCGATGGCGATGACGAATGGAGTCTTGG